TTTCGTATTCAGGAATTTTAATAATTACGTAAATTTCATAAGCATTTTTAGTAATTTCCTAGTAGCAGTCAAAATTCCTCAGTTTTTTTTGGAAACTCATACGACTTAAAATAGGGATCTCCTAAATTTTCAATAAAATGGTATGTTATATTTATCATAAGTTTCTTGACATTATGAAAATTTTTAAAAAACCCATCGAAAAACTGCAGCCATCACCACAAAAGCCTAAGACTTTTGTAGCCGCCGTTGAAACCTAACGCTTTGGTAGCAGCCGCCCAAGCCTAAAACTTTTGTAGTCGCTGACGGCGAAGTCTAAGGCTTTTGTAGCAGTCTTCGAAGTCTAAAACTTTTATAGCCGCCGTCGACGCCTGGGGCTTTTGTACCCGCCGCTGTCGAAGCCTAAAACTTTTGTAGTCGCTGACGGCGAAGTCTAAGGCTCTTGCAGCCGTCAACGAAGTCTAAGGCTTTTGGAGCGCCACTTAAGGCTTTCCTAGCAGCCGCCGAAGCTTAAGACCTTTGTAGCAGTTGCCGAAGTTTGAAACTTTCGTAGCCGCTGACGAGGTGTAAGGCTTTTGTAGCCGGCTCCTAAGGCTTTTCTAGCAGCAGCCGAAGCTTAAGACTTTTGTAGTCTGTCGCCGTCGACAAAGAAAAAAAGTTAGAATAAATCCAACCGTTGATGAATGCATCGGCTTAATCTTCTACTTATGCTTCTTAGTTTCCACATCAGTATTCTTCTTGAATGATGTATTATTGTAAATTTGTATATATTTTAGTGGTCATCGCTGGGAAATTTTTCTTGAAAATTCTTTTCCACGTTTGAAACAACTTCAACTTTGTTTTGATATGCCAATTGATGATATACAATTACGTATAAATCCAATTCTTTCATCATTTTCATCTTTTCATATTCGTTGGCCAATTGGACATATGATATGGCGTCCACATTCAAATAAAACACGTTTGAAATTATTTACATTACCTTATGCATTTGATACATTAAAATTATCAACATCAAATTCACGTTTATTTAATAATATAATTTATGAAAAAAATTTTAAATCAGTTAAAAAAATAGTTCTTGATGCAACACAAGGAACAATAAATGAAATAAGTCAACAATTAATTTATTTATTAAAACAATATTGTTCAAAAACAAATATTTTACAAATACAAAATATTGTTTTACCAATAAATGATTCATTAAATATTTCATCAAAAACAATCAATATAACATTTCATCATTTAAAACATCTTATTGTAAATGAATGTGATGGTCGTTTATTTCCAATAATATTTTCATTTGCACCACGTTTAACAACATTATCAGTTACAGGTCCTTTATTATTAAAATATTTTCTTAAAATTCCTTCACCAAATTCATCTTATTTAACACGTATAAAAACACTTGAATTAAATTGTATGCAAATGGATAGACAAAATCGTTTAAATCGTTTATTAAATAATTTACCAATATTATTTCCTTATCTTGAACATTTAACTATTGATATTAATCCAAAATTATATGTTGATTTAAGAATAATTAAAACAATCTTAGATGGTTTTATTAAATTAATTAGCTTAAAAATTCAACGAACAAGTAAATATGTTTTAGATAAATATACACAAGATGATCGACAAGTACGAAATTATTTTGAAATTCATTCATTTCGTTTAAATCATAGTGAAACATATGAAATTATTTGTAAAGATAGTCAATTGGAAATTTGGTTATAGGAACAGATCTGATTTGATTCGTTTTTTGTTTTTTGTTTTATTATTATTTTTACCGTTCAGATTATTCCTTGTGTTTTTGTTTTTTGACCTTGTAATTATATTCTAGAGACTGTGTACATTTGTGTTATAAACGTTAACGAGGAAGAAAAAAGATTTTTATTGATAAAAAAAAAAAAAAAAAACAACAATAAAGAAACTTTTAAACAATATCCATTGTTAAACGAGATACATTGGAAATCTTGTCAATAACTTCAGTGATTGATGGTCGTCGATTAGGTTCTGTTTGAAGCATTGCAAGCATTATATCAATTATATCAGATGGATAAGTTGTAGATTGAACTGGTAATTCAATACGACCACTTGCAGCTGCTAAAGCTACACTAAAATAAGATATTATAATCTTAATATAAGTTTCAATCTTTCAAACATCAAAATTAGTATAAAATACTATTAAATGTGAATAGATTTGAATAATGAAATTATTTATACTATGCATAAATTATCATTTTCCACACGAAAAATATTATTTACATTAACTAATAAATGAATTTGAATAAAAATATTCGAATTTCAAAGTACTGATTTACTAAGTAGTAAATTTTGAAATAAATTTACGAAATTCATATTAAATTCAACGAATAGATCGTTGGATAAAATATTCTTTGACAGGTTCTTGTTTTTGTTCATTTTTCAAGAACAACAAAAGAAATTTGATAAATAGACTTTTTCCAATCTAAACAATATTTGCTATACTCTTCGAATATTTGATGATATTCATAAGCTTAGATTGTCCACTAGAGAATAGGATAATTAGTACGAGTATCTCGAGATCGCTAGGATTGAGAGGGAGTTGAAGAGAAAGAAACACAATACAACGCTGAAGAAATATGAAAATTTTTCAAGATTGGAGAGTTCATCCGCTTAGAATATCTATGATAATTAGAATGACTATCTTTCATGTTATCAATCGATAGAAAAGAAAGACATTAAAATGTTTTCATGTAAAAAATTCATAATAAAAACTAACGAGGGAATCTTTGCAGGTGTCAAATCGCTTTTCAATCGAGATGATGTTTATTTGATGAGTAATAGAAATGTCTAGAATGATTTGATTTTTCGGGCCTTCATTCTCGAGACATCGAAGCTTTACTGAATTCTTCAACAAAATGCTCTGTAGTCATGTGAAAAAAATCGACTTCAAACTTTACACGAGCAAAGTTCTCAATGAGATTAGTTCATTGAACAAAAGTTGTAACCTTAGTAGCCATTCCTATCTCGAAATATTCGAAATTTTCTTATGTGTAAAAGCAAAGGACGGGGGCGCATAAGACCACAAATCGGCCCATTAGGAATTTTTCGGGATAACTCTATTGAATCATACATCATTCGAAAGAGCATGTTAAAATGAACATTT